GCATAAATAAATAAACTGCAAACATATGTACTTTGACTGAAACATGATTGCCAGATCAAAATGGAATTGATAGAATCTGCAAAACACAGCTTTTACAGCATACCTCTAACACCTTGTTCGTCCCGTAAGACCTCCAGCACAACCAATGCCCGACAATCCATTATATGAACCGTCAGAGTTTACTTTAGCTCATCCCGGCAACGGTCGCTCCCAACGAATCCACCGAGGGACACGTAGACGTCCCGTCCCTCCAAGCTTGCTTGCACTATCGTTGAATCTCACCATTCCGTCAATGTAGGTGGATATCTCATGCAAACACGTGGCCACGCCCCGAACACGCCCCTGAAAAATCATTTCATTCCTATACGTCCATAGTTTCCATACTACAACCCCAAAAGTGCATTCCCACCCTTCTCCCTCGGCGCCTGATCGGTGAGCCAAGTTCTCGTAGACCCAAGTTTCCAGCGGCTGCGTGAAGAACTCAACAGGAGCAGAATTAGGGAGTAGCCGATGCCAGATTTTCGTCGCCAATGGGCAGTCTCGAACTACATGCAACGCTGTTTCCTCACTATGTCCACACTTGATGCAAGCAGTACTCTCCGTCAAGTGTCGTCGGGCCCTCTCCGCGTTAGTGAGGAGCCGATTTTTTATAAGGAGCCAAAGAAAAGTCCGGACACGTTGGGGGCCCGGCCATTGCCAAATTGTTCGCCATACGTTTGACGAGCCCAAATCGTCGTCGCCTGCCAGCATGTCATAGGCGGATCTGGTGGTGAACTTTCCCGTTGAGGATGGGCCCCAGAACATCCGATCTTGTCCCAGTTTCGGTCGCGACGGGGGGATAGCAGAAATTTGGAGCAGCAACGATGCCGGGAGCAGGTAGGAGAATCTGCTCCAATGCCAACCTCCTCCGGCCGACGTAAAGAAAAGTACGGGTTGAGCAATGAGCTCTAACGACACCGTTCCTGTGGCAGCTGAGAGGATTTGGACGCCCGAAGGGAGCCAACAGTCCGTCCAGAACTTCACTGTGCGCCCGTCATAAACAGCCCATCGGGCCCCGACAATAACATGAGGCCACACTCGTCGCAGCGCCTGCAAAACCGCTGATCCTCGGTTGGTAGCAAAGCTTATGAAGGGATCATCCCCATAGTTGGCTTTCCAAACCCGAATCCAAAGCGCGCTATGATTCGTGAGGAACTTCCAACCCAATTTCATCAACATGGCATCATTCATCGTCTTTTTTCGTTTGAATACCAAACCCCCAGCGTCCCGTGGCATACATACCTCCGTCCATTTAACCAAACTGATTTTCTGGTTGCACTTCAACCACCCCAAAGAAATCGCCGACACTGCTTTTCAAGGTCCTCACAGATGGAATTTGGCAATTTGATGGACTGCATAGTGTAGTAGGGAAGGGCGCTTACTACAGCTTGAGTTAGGACAGCCCTCCCTGCCAAGGACAAAGTCGACGCCTTCCAGCCCGACAAACGAGTCTCGGCCTTCTCAACGATTTTTTCATAAGTCTGCTTCTTAACCCTTCTATGCAGGAGCAGAACACCTAAGTAATAGCCAAGGTCCTCCACTATTGTGAACCCCAGCATGTTCAAGAGAGCCGAACGGGCATCTATAGGGACATTTTTAGAGAAGAACATGGTAGTTTTGGGTTCGCTCACCCGTAGGCCCGAGTCGCGACAAAAGGTCGCAAGAACCTCCCGGAGCGTACTCGCTTGATTAGCTGAAGCCTCGAAAAATAGAAGTAAATCATCTGCAAACAATATATATAGAATGCGCACTCTACCACGCCCCACCGTGATCGGTCTCCACTGACCTCCAGTAACAACTCGTTGATTAGCATGGGCTAAGCGCTCTATGCAGAGAACAAAGAGGTAGGGAGAAATAGGGTCGCCCTGTCGGACCCCTCGCGACGGCCTAAACTCCTCACCCGGAACCCCATTCCAAAGGATTTGCATAGACGGGGAGGTGATGCACTTCATTACTGCCGTCACAAAAGTTAGAGGAAGACCTGCCAAGAGAAGAGTGGATTCTACAAAATCCCATTGTAGGAAGTCATAAGCCTTCTCTAAATCTACCTTTACCACCATAAAACCGGTGGGCCCAGTTTTCGTTCGCATGGAGTGGATCAGCTCCTGCGCCACTATGACATTATCGTGAATTTGCCTACCTGGTACGGAACTCGACTGGGCCAGACCAATGAGGCCCCGGAGAAGGGGCTTCAACCTGTTAGTTAACACTTTCGTTAATAGTTTATACACCACGTTCAAAAGGCTGATCGGACGAAATTGTTTAATCGTCTCCGGTTGGTCCTTCTTCGGAATGAGAACAATCAAGGTCCTATTAACATCGTCCGGCATATCACCTCCGTGAATCACCGTTCTGATTAGGTGGCAAACTGATGGGCCCACACGGTCCCATTGGCTTTTGAAGAATAATGCGTGTAGCCCATCTGGCCCC